TGCAGTATATACCAAAAAAATTGTGGAGACAGTTACTGTCACGGGGGGGGGGGGGAAGGAGAGGGGGGAGAGAGGGGGAAGAAACCTTTCAGTTCATTTAATATTCCAAATTTAGAACCAGAATCTGACTTTACTCACATTGAGTAATACCCTATTTCACAAGGTAGTCCCATTGCAATGGGAAAAGATTAGGAACAATGGGATCGCTTCTGGAGTAAAGTGATATTCAGCTGGCACTGCAAAACAAGATGTGGGAAAGGAAAAGTTCAGGGACCTTGAAGAGAATCGTGCACTTAACGTACACTCGGAATGGAGCCTTAAATTTTGCCAAGTTTACATACGATTTTAAGTATGGTAACCTTATTATAAGCTTGATCCAATTCCCATTGACATTTACTGCAATGAGATGGATTGGGTCTTATCTGAAGTATTCTCTACTGTTAGATAGTTAACTGAAAATGCTTAGTTAAGGCATGTGGAAAGATTTACAGGCCACATAATGACTTGAAAACACAGAACTACATTCTCTGAAGACACAGTTTAGCCTGTATAACCTTTTATTAACAACAACAATAATCCACATTGAAAGAACCCAGTCAAACTCTCAGATCCAAGACTGAATATACACAACTGGTAGTTCTAAGAGCCATCTTATTACTTGTTAATTAAGCATATTTAATATAGAAGTCATTGTGAGGATCAAAGATGAACCTCACAATGTCTTTATTACAGAGTAACTTTTCAGAGCAGAACTGCTCTTTACATACAGTATTATAACAATCAATGTTCAGGTCAGAGTCAGCTAACTACTTTTGTAGCTCTTTATTATCCTATGAACAAGTTAGTGCAGAGAACTGGGCGTAGCCAAGAGGACAAGTAGTAACCACAAATACATTGATAAATGCAAAGTAATGCACATGGGAAAACATAATCCCAACTATACATATAAAATGAGGGGGTCTAAATTAGCTGTTACTGCTCAAGAAAGATCTTGGAGTCATTGTGGATAGTTCTCTGAAAACATCCATTCAATGTGCAGTGGCAGTCAAAAAAGCTAACAGAATGGTGGGAATCATTAAGGGAGAGAAAATATAAAAATCCATGGTACGCCCACATCTTGAATACTGCGTGTAGATGTGGTTGCCCCATTTTAAAAAAGATATATTGGAATTGGAAAAGGTTCAGAAAAGGGCAACAAAAATTATTAAAGGTATGGAACAGCTTTTGTATGAGGAGAGATTAATAAGACTGGGACTTTTCAGCTTGGAAAAGAGATGACTAAGGGGGGACATGATAGAGGTCTATAAAATCATGACAGGTGTGGAGAAAGTAAATAAAGAAGAGTTATTTACTCCTTCTCATAACACAAGAACTAGGGGTCGCCAAATGAAATTAATAGGCAGCAGGTTTAAAACAAACAAAAGGAAGTATTTCTTCACACAACACACAGTCAACCTGTGGAACTCCTTGCCAGGGGATGTTGTGAAGATTAAGACTGTAACAGGGTTCAAAAAAGAACCAGCTAAGTTCATGGATGATAGGTCCATCAATGGCTATTAGTTAGGATGTGCAGGGATGGTGTCCCTAGCCTCTGTTTGCCAGAATGGGAATGGATGACAGCGGATGGATCACTTGATTACTTGTTCTGTTCATTCCCTCTGAAGCACCTAGCACTGGCCACTGTCGGAAGACAGTATATTGGGCTAGATGGACCTTTGGTCTGACACAGTATGGCCGTTCTTATGTTCTTATATGCAAAGCATTTGTTTAAGTGCTTAAGTATGGCAATACCACACTACTGCAAAATAAAAAACAAATACAATGAGAAATGCCAGCAGTATAATACCATTTTAAATTCTTACAATAAGTCTAGTCAGCAAACTGAAACAGATTCAAAAACACAACAAGAATTACTTCTCGATCACCCATTGGTATTTTAGTGCGGGGGTGGGAGGGAGAGGTGTTTGTCTGTTTTTGATTAAGTAACAAAGCATGCATAACTGAGGAGTTATTCCTCTTATTAAATTTTTTACACATCAAACCACTGGGATTTTCTCATTTTTGGTTTGGCCAGACCAATCCGATCTATAAATATACTCCTGGGTTGAAAGCCAACACATTGTAGACAGTATTCTTCATAAACCTCACACAAGTAGGGACTGCATTTGCAATTTTAAAGTTTGCTTCAGCACCATGCAAACTGAACAACCCCCAAAGTAAGACAGGGCTTTTACTACTCCTATTTTAAAGACTGCATTCAATATTTTAAGAACAATTCAAATTATATCACTACTCCAACCAACCATTTGGTAAGTTTTGTTACCAAGATCTAACCTCAAAGTATGAATGTTATCCCAACAAACAAGAAAAGTAATCCTGTCCTCCAAGTGTCTCTGGACAGATTTCAAGCCTCTCTTATCCAACAGGGAAACTATTTAGTACAATTTGGGAAATGGAGCATGTTAAATGATGTCAAAGAACAGCAGATGGGGAGAGACCAGCATTAAACGTTGATTATTTCTGTGCCAAGATGGTCCAGGGTGGATCAGAAGTAACACTGCATATTACACAAAAAATAGGCAGATCAATACTCTGTACTTAGTTCAGCTCCTTCTTAAAGCATGGCATTTCTTCTTCAAAGGGGATCTAATAAATCTGCTTAGGCCCCAACTTTACTCTTTCATTTTTCCCTTTAAAAAGTGAGAGAACTCTACGCTATTTGGGTCCTCTAGAAAAGAGGGGCAAAAGAGCATATATTTTGATTTCTATAAGTTGATAACCAGGTGATTAGTGTTGTATTCCTCTTTAGTAGTGATACGTATATACAAACTAAGGCAAGATTGCACATTACATCTTCGTGAAGAGTTACATAGTTGAGCTACAGAAACATTCAATTCAAGGCAAAGAGAACTCATTACTGTACCAGCAAATGCCATTTTTAACCTTCAGAAATTAGAGTTTAGACACACAACTTTGACAGATGCTGGATATCATGTACAGTTAGAATGACCCACAGCAGTTTATTGCCACCAACACTGACTGGCCTATCACCTATATCTATCATTCCCAGTTTAACAGCAGCATATTATGGTGGAGTGGAAAAAAAAAAAAGCTACACTGGAAAGGAGGTTAGTCTTTTCAAAACTGTGGACTGTCAGTTGAACAAGGTGAACTAGCGAGGACAGGATGAACACGTACTAAAGTAAGTGAAAGCATTCGGGAACTATTTGCTTTCCACAAGATAGTTAATGCTAATTTACTTAAACGGAAAAAATAACATTTATTTAAACTGCATTACTGTAAATAGAGAGTGGGGGTGAAAAAAGTCTGACTGTTTCCTTGTGTACCACCCCCCCCCCCCCAGCCCGGTCAGTATCCATCTGTTTATTTTCTTATATTTAGATTCTAAGCTCTTCTGGGCAGGGATTGTCTTTTTGTTCTGTGTTTGTACATACAACAGGTTCTTGGTCCATGACCGGGGCTCCTAGCCACTATGATTATGCAAATAATAAATAATACTTATTGGATATATGTATTAAACAGTTCATTATGCAGTTGAATTATACCTTTGCTTTTAATAACTGTGTACTCCAATGATGTTGGGGAAGCAGATGCAGATCTGTCACAAAGTGCCTAATTACTTTCCCTCATGGCCTCCTTGTAGAGCAAAGTGATAGGTTGGCCTGCATTCTGCCTCCATTCCCCCTTCCATCTGATATATCAGATTAATTCTAGTATTTATTACTGTATAAATACTGCTTGGTCACAATAGGATCATCTGTCCTCTCCGATAATAAACCCTTGCTTGCAAGATCAGATGGAGAAACCCTGGAGCATTAGAACAAAACAAAAAAGCAGCATAACACACTGTAGGTATTGAGAGGAGCAGAATGCAGTAAATAGACAGCCGAAAAAGGATTTTGAGAAACTTTTTGAAAATGTACATGGCTTTAAGTAGGTTCTTTTTTCAGAACATAATACCAGTTAAAGGTTCATAAGCCATGCACATAAACTTCATTGTACGTATGCATCTACTTTTAAGGGTAGCACCCAAACTGTGAGAAAGAACCATATTCTCCAAACATGATCAGAGTTAAGTGTTGTTAACAGTAGCCTCGGCTGAACTACCAGAAGTGTTAAACAGCTTCCCATCAAAAAACATAAACCAATGGTTAAGGTAATATGCCACTGCTCATCCAGCTATAACACAAAGTTGATAGATCAATGCTTTTGCAGCTGTATCAAGAGAAATGTAGATAAGTGTTATAGGAGATCAAGTTGGGAGACCAAGTCTGTCTCAATCTTTCTAAGGTGGCAGAGGGACAGATCCGTTAGTTCAAATTCAGACACACACATCAAGTCACTTGATCAGCTACCAAACTCCTCAGAAGTACTCCAAAGTTGTTCTAAGAAGATCAATATACTAACATAAAATATATATGATCTATGATATGTGATATATGCCACCATGTGCCAGCAATGCCCCTCTGCCATGTACATTGGCCAAACCGGACATTCTCT